AGTATGGCTGGAGAAATTAGGAAGCCATTGGTAATTGGCAAGTCTAAAAAACCACGGTGTTTTAAGAACATGGACATTTCTTCGCTACCTGTCATATGGAAATTTAATAAAAAAGCCTGGATGACAACAGAGATAATGGAGCAGTGGTTGCGTTATTTTAACGCAGATATGCGATCTCAGAATAGAAACGTCCTAATATTCTTAGATAATGCTGCATGTCACCCAAAGATCGAACTATCTAATACGAAAATACTTATGTTGCCCCCAAATACCACATCGATCACCCAACCAATGGATCAAGGAGTGATTTACACGTTCAAGTCTTACTATCGTAAGTTTTAGCCGGGATACTGGGAAAGTTCCCGGTGGGCCGATCCTCGCGTTAAAGCTCTTGGCCAATATACTTGGATTAGGTACAAATTATTTGATAATATTTATCTGAAGGTCTACGTATTGTTTGTTATCAAATACAACTCATATTAAGATTTTGGCTGCACTAGTATAGTATAAGATACATGCAGTTGTACATAATGTATTATGAGTTAAATAATCTATCAACAATATATGTATAAAATATGTTTTGATATTTTATATTTTGAGTAGAGCGATGAATGTATAATGTATTGATTTTGATTTTTATAATGGAGAATTGGTGTGTTTATATATAGAAAATTGATCTCATTTTACAGATAAGTGATAAATGTATAAACATTAAACACACTACAGGCATTGTGGCGGTCCTGGAATCCTGGATATTATCGATATTATCCATTGGACGGATACCGCGTGAGTCAGTGGTGTCACTAGTGTAGGAAGTGGTGGAGGAAAAAAAACACAAACATTTCGCGGTATTATGATTTTTTTATAGTGGTGGTTGAAAATACAACCGCCAGAAAATGATCAACACGAAAATCAAAATAGCGGAGTGGTGAGGAGCGTGTGCGTTCAGTGACGGTCAGAGAACTCACTCTACTCACTGTCAGTTCTGTCACTACTGTCGACCRGTTCGGRGTCTCGGCGGATCGACCGTTCCAGGCGCGCTTATCGCGTGTCGGTGTCGTCCGTCGTCGATTGGCGGTTGAAAAGAGAAGTAATTGCGCGGGTTTCCGCGCAAAGGCCGTTTGAATTTAAACGGCTATTACGCGGGCCCGCGTCAGCATCACATAACTCAACATAAGGTATATCCGTATATCTAATGATCAGAGCTAGGATTTGTATGCAATAAAAAATTGTAAAATATGCATTTTATTTAC